AGATGGTGAGCCCTGAGGAGGAGGAGAGTGCCTCAGGATAGTAGAGCTTTGAACGGCAATAGAGCCCTTAGGCGGAGGATAGGCTTGAGGGGGAGGAGAGGCCTGAGGGCGAGGGGACCCTGAGCAGGAGGAGTGGCTTGAGGAGGAGGAGAGCCCTGAGGAGCCGGGGAGCCCTGAGGAGGAGGGGAGGCCTGAGGGCAGGAGAGTCCTGAAGAGGAGGAGAGTCTTGAGGGCAGGAGAGGCCTGAGGGCAGGGGAGGCCTGAGGAGGAGGCGAGGCCTGAGGAGGAGGAGAGGCCTGAGGGCAGGAGAGGCCTGAGGGCAGGGGAGGCCTGAGGAGGAGGAGAGGCCTGAGGAGGAGGGGAGGCCTGAGGAGGAGGAGAGGCCTGAGGAGGAGGGGAGGCCTGAGGAGGAGGGGAGGCCTGAGGAGGAGGAGAGGCCTGAGGGCAGGAGAGGCCTGAGGGCAGGGGAGGCCTGAGGAGGAGGGGAGGCCTGAGGGCAGGGGAGGCCTGAGGGCAGGGGAAGCCTGAGGAGGAGGGGAGGCCTGAGGGCAGGGGAGGCCTGAGGAGGAGGAGAGGCCTGAGGAGGAGGAGAGGCCTGAGGGCAGGGGAGGCCTGAGGAGGAGGAGAGGCCTGAGGAGGAGGAGAGGCCTGAGGGCAGGGAGGCCTGAGGGCAGGGGAGGCCTGAGGGCAGGGAGGCCTGAGGGCAGGGGAGGCCTGGGGACCAGGGGAGGCTGTGAGGGCAATGCCCGTCCTCCAGCCCCGCTCGCACGCTGGGCCAGGCCGCCGAGACCACCAGCACGGGCTGCCCTCTGAGCTCTGGGGGGCGGGGGGGGGGGCACCCTGCAGGGATCAGCGCTGTCTGCCCTCCCCACCCCCACCCCGGCCTGGGCTCTGCTCGGGCTCCAGAAGGTGAGGAAAAAATAACTGACAGAAACCCCCATGCAAAACCCCAGCTCTCAGAGGGCGGTCCCTGTGCGCCTGCTCCTCCCGTCCCCGCACCCGGTGAGGAGCAGCTCCCATCTGAGGGTGGCGGGCAGGGCCCAGCACTGGGGGGCAGGCTCCTCGGGGGCGAGGCTGGACTGGGTGGGAGACCAGGCAGGCGGGGACCCTGGGTGCTGCCCAGCCCTCCGGCGTCAGCACCCGGAGGCGGGTGGGGAGGGCTCAGGAGCCACGGGACAGGGTAGGCGACAGCGAAGTGAACACGCTGGAGCCTCAGGCCATGGACACAGGGCGTTTCCCTGGCCGGCCCGGTCAGTGAGCCCCAGACCAGCTCAATCCCGCTCTATTCTGCAGCTGCACTGGCCTCCCCATCTGTCCCGGCCACACCGGCCTCACGGCAGCGGGAGCCGCGCCCGTCCTGCTGGGTCCCTGGCGCTCAGGGCGGTGCCGGCACCCCCAGCGCTCGGCCAGGAGGGAGGTGAACACACCGGCTGGAGCTGGGGCACGGGGAGCCATGGGCTAAGGACAAACCGGGGCACGGGGAGCCACGGGCTAAGGACAAACCGGGGCACGGGGAGCCACGGGAGAAGTCCTCGATGCTGATGGTTCCTACTCAAACACTCGCGTCCTGTGACCAAAGCCTCATTTAACCCATGGTTTCTAGGAAGGGCTTGGCCACACCAGCCTGACGGACAGCCGGGCCTCTGGCCTCTGCCCCGGGCCCCTGACCTCTGAGTGCCCCCTGCGCATTTTAATACACTCAGAGCAGGCCCGTGTGACAGTGCAAATTAAACGCATTCTTTACTCTTTACGACCTCATCTACAGCTAAAGACCATGTTGTAGGAAGCACCTCACCTTCACAATGTGAAGCCCGAACAGTCACACATGCCCTGGATCAAGGAGCACATCGGGCACCCCGACACCTGGGCCAGGTAGCTCTCCGCTGTGGGGCTGCCCTGGGCATCCCGGTGTTTACCGGCTCGGGCGGTGCTCACTCGACACCAGCCCCACCCACCAGCCAGGGGGTTTCCAGACACCGCCCAGCGTCCCTGGGGGACACCTTCGCACACACCCGCGACCAGCATGGCCCGGCCAGTGGCCTTTTCCCATCGCCACTGTAACGAGGACACGGGGATGGAGCGGGGTTGGACTTGAAAGGCTCCCTTAAAACCACTGGCCCAGATCACACGCCGCTGAAACCGAAAGCAGCGTGGTGCCTGCACCCGCCACCCTGCGGGGCTCTGAGCCGCGAAGGCAGCGCCCACACTTCCTCTGGACGGGCCCAGTCTGAGCGCGAGTCTCTAGGAGGCCTGCCTTCCTGGGGGCGGGGGAGCTCATCCCCAAGTCTCCCCATTTCTATAGGAGGCAGATCCCGAAGTCAGAGGCATTGCTGACCGATGCCTGTGGGACACACATGAAACATGCATGTGGAGCTGTCCTCGCACATGTGCAACGGGACCACAGCGGCGGCTGCCTCCTCCCCGCTCCCTGCCCGCAGCCAGGAGGGCCAGCAGGCCGCAGCTCCACGGAGGGCTTGTCTGCAGTCCAGTGGGGGGCCCACTCCAGGGGCTCCCGGCCCAGGGACCGACGCACCAGGACCATGACTGTGTCATCTACCTGAGACTGTCTCGGTGTGCACCGCTCCCTAGAAAGAGTTAGGAACCTTCCACACTCTAAACCAGCGGTCGCTAACCAGTGGTCCGCGCGACCCGAAAGGTCGGCGACTGCTGCTCTAAGTCGCTGAGACGTCTGGTGTCCGGGTCCCCATCAGCCCACCAGGCCACGAGGTATGAACTCTTCCTCCCACCACGGAGGAGCGGCCACGCCGAGCGAGCACCAGTGTGCTCAGCCTCCCAGGGCCCCCAGTGGGGCTGGCGGTGGTGGTGATCACATCACAACTAGCCACCCACTCCCCAAATTCCTGAAACCAAAAGGCACCAATTATACACGTAGAGCAAACACTCCCTCCAGGCCCAAAGGAAAGAAAACTGAGGACCATAATGAAGCGTTTAGAGACGTGTCCCTCTCAATACAGACTCTGCTCAGCCAAGGGCGGCCACAATCTCCCAGGCTTCTCGGGGTGCAGGGG